GCATTTTTAGATCGTTTTGAACGCTTTGCTTCTAGTCAGCAGTGGCCAAAAGAGAGTTGGTCAGTGAGTCTAAGCCCATTGTTAACTGGTAAAGGTCTGCAGGCGTATTCTAGTATGCCAGCCGAGGAAGCTAATAACTATGACAACTTGAAAGTAGCCTTGTTGAAGAGATATATGCTGACCGAAGAAGGGTTTCGTGTTAAGTTCAGAAGCTGTAAACCTGACAGTGGGGAAACGGTGTTTCAATTTGTTGCTAGGATGAAGAGATATTATCAAAGATGGAAAGAACTCTCAGAAGTTGAAGATACAGTAGAAAGCCTCAATGACCTCATCATACGAGAGCAATTCATGTCGACATGCTCCAATGAACTGTCAGTGTTCTTAAAAGAAAGGAAGCCAAGGACTGTTGATGAGATGACCAGGTTAGCAGAGCAATACCTTGAGGCACACAGTGGGTCCCCAGTCAAGGGGAGGAATAATTTCAGAGTTGAAGCCTTTAAGGGATCAGATAATGTGGGTGCAGATTACCTCAGTAGGTTGTGTTAAATATGATGTTTGTGCTAGATGTTATATAAAGTTTCACATTTGTAAGTGAAGAAGTGGTCAAGTTGTTTCAAGAGTTCCATTGTAGTTATTAAGTTTATTATAGAGTAAGAGTTCATGTTAAACTAAAGTAGTTAAGTAGTTAAGCTGTTTACTGTTATTAGTTAAGATTCTTTAAAAGTGTTAAACAGTTAAGAGGTTGTCGTCAGACTAATTAATGTGTTGGTTGTGTAGATGAACATGTTGACGTTTTATATAAGTTGTAAAAGGGTTATTACCGTGTTTGTAACCTCAACCATTTATTAATTGAAAAACAGTAAATGTTTTTCTTAGTAGGGGGTAGTTGTCAGAGAATTAAGCTCTCCTGGGTGGGGAGATCGGAACTGGGAAGAGAGAGGAGAGTCGGGGCCATGCGGTGCGTTACTGTTTCAGACAGAGTGTGGAAGCGTTTTAAGCGCTGGACGTTGTAATTAGTAGATTCATTGTTGGAATAGACTGTGTTGATGTTCCGTGGACTGCACTGAATGCTTTGATGCCATAAATGCACCAAGTTACGGCGTAAACTAACCAAGATAGGAATCGGCGGCAAGTACACGTGCACCTCTCTGTTACATTGCATCAGTTACTGTTACGTTATGTACTGTGATAATCTGGAAACTGATCTTTATTCAGTGGAAATCTTAAAATTTCGAAAATAATAAAGGAGACATTCAGAACATATGCAAATGCGCTGTTGTTTTTCCTGACAGGGTGTCTGGAGAGATAATCTGGGTCTACATCATTCTTTCCTGGCTCATGTACCACTTCATAGTCAACATCTTGTAAGTCCATCACCAATTTCTCTGGTAATTTTGCTTGTGCTTTGTTAAACATGGGTACCGTACTAATGGTTTGAGTGCTTCAAAAATACTAAATTTTTCTCTCATGTCCCAGTATGGTTCAATGTCCTCATCTTTTCTGTATAGATTGCTAATTCCAATCTCCTGTTGAGATTCTCCCTCCAAGTTTGATTAGTGTTGGGTCAGTGAGGGTTTTCTCTGCGTTCTCATTGAGAATCACTGCATTTTCAGATTTGACCACTCTGTCAAACTGTTTGCCTGAGCTGAAAAAACAAAAAAGAGAAACACTCATTATAAACATTCAACTGGCCTGTAGCAAAAGTTTTTTTTTCCTAAAAAAAGTGGACCTTTTACCATGAAACCATTGTGTACCTAAATGAAAATTTACCCAGAGGGAACCTGTTCCTGGCAAAAAGGGCTGTTTGTTTGCATGTCTAAACTGGCAGTGGTCCTGGGCAAAGTCAAACTTGGCAGCTTCCTCATTTTCACAGAAATTTGTACTTTCAAAAAATTGCTAATATGCATCTGATGTTTTGCCATGACTTCATGTAATAAAAATCAAACTTAAAATTGTCATCATTTTATATTGGCAATTTAAGCTAAATTTAGAGGGACATTTGATGTGACTTTGCATCTTAAGCAGCATGACATGCCTCAAAATGTGTCACAACACTATTTTCAATGCAGGAATGGTGCAGTCCAGATGTAACATTGTAATAATGTGATGTTATACTTGGCTACATACTGGGGTATGTATGAATTCCTAACATGCAAAGCCATTACTTCACTCCAGTTGGAGGGCTATGGCTAAATAGAGAGTTATAAAAACCTGATAGGACGAAGTGAACACTGCAAAAATCCCCACAAATAACTTTTTAGGACAACATACAGAAACCCTATTGCTCCCTAACTCTGCTAGAACTTTTTACGTTTTACCTCAGATATTTCCAAGAATCCAGATCTACTGAATAACACTTATAACACCCCCTTTATCTATCATCTAGCTCTTATATCTGTAGCTCTCTCCTCTCTCTCTCTCTCTCTATCTCTCTCTCAAAAGCCCCGCCCAACTGTCGCTTTCAATCCCAAGACTTCCGGTACCAGATCACTGCAACAAAGTACTCACCTTTCTGTCATCAAGAATGTCTCTGCATGCATTTAAAAGGATGCTGAAATCGTGGAATGTCCTACTGCTTCAGATCAAACTTTTATGGTAACCCATGAATATATCTTGGCCTCAGTATAACGTTATTTCATAACGTGTAAAATTTTCCCGCTCCACCCAACTAAGTAGGTCAAAGAAAACCCGCAGTGAATACTGGGTCACAACTCGGTACATCCGGTCACATGAAGCGCGCCGCAGTTTTACTCAGCTTCCCAGTTATTATATCTTTTGATTTTTTTGTTTAGATATGATATTATTGAATATTGATTGAGAATAAATTATTACAAAAAGGTAATTATAATTTTTTTATTGTTATTATTATATATTTTCTTTTTGCTTCAACTTTTGCTGGTTCTCAGCACTGCTAACACAACGTTCAATTTGAGCAAATGGAGCATTTAAGGACCTTCGCATTTAGAGCAATTAGGTCCTACCATTAAAAGTATAGTAAACGTACTAAAAATATTCTAAAGTCAATTTTTGCTTAAATATCCTGCATAGCAACTAGTACCTGTACTTTACTTTTATAGACAGTGCTAGAGACTGCGCTAGTATAGGCTTATATTAGATGCGCTAACTAATTTATTTTCAAAAGGTCTAATTCCTCTTTTCCTCAATTCCAAGTATATTTTCTCAATGCCTGGTAACGAAGGTTTTGCAAATGGCTTTTTAAGAGAATGCAAACTTGTCGTGTTTCGTGTAAAACATTTGACACATGCCCTATTAACATATCGTCCAGCTAATCATGCTGGGAAGGAGGGGGGGGGGGGGTAGTGATCATAGTTCACGGCCACAAAAAATAAAACCATCAAATCACAAATCACACATATTAATTAAAAACTTTATTCGTATCTCACTGAAAAAGCTAGTCTAAACAGGAATCTTTCTTTTAAAAATTATTAAAGACATCCTAACATTTTATACATATCTGATATGTGAATATCTAGTGAAAACTCCATCTGTGACTCTCTCTCTTTCTCTCTCTCTCTCTCTCTATCTCTCTCTCTCTCTCTGATTGTCTCTGGCCGAATTCACAACCAGTTGATCCTCGGACCAGAATCAGATAACAAACCTCTTTTATGATAATTAACTGTTATGACTATAAATGAAAGTACATATTTTTCATTCAACAGCATCTTCCGTATCTTTACGAAAAAAAAAAAAAATATATTGAAAACGCATCTGTAAAGATTAACTTTGAAAGATGAAAAAAAATGCCAGAGCTTTTGGCTTGTGAACCTTCTTCAGGTACCAAAACAAGAAAAAACAAGCAAACTACCCGGTACAGGGATTCATATAAAAGGGACAATAAGTTAGAAGTGCGTGACAAAGGTTAACGTGTTGAAGATTACGTAATAATTAAACAAGACTAATATCCGTTGAGATATTCATTGTCTCTATAAAGTCCTTTTTTAAAGTGTTTATATTTTTATGCGCTTCTTATCTACAATCCGTCTTTGTCTTGTGTCGCGTATGTGTTCTTTTAAAATGGAAACTACTGTGGTGGTTCTTGATGCGAGCTTTAAGGGCGTAAGACAGCTTTTTTCTATCGTTTTCACTTTTAATTACTATTAGTTCTATTACTGTATATAGCTACCAATTATCTGCGCTTTAAGCTTGTACTTTTTATTACAGATACAAGCAAGGCAAGCAAAAACTCTCTGGCAGTGAATTGTGAACTGTTGCTGCTACCACTCCTACATAAAGTAGATATTGCAAACATACATCGGCACATGAATCAATAAGATATCAGACAACTTTCACGGAAAATAAACTGAAATTAAAGCTGGATATTCTTGTATCTATTATCATTTCGCATTTACGTAAAATCTCGGTACGTAGGCTACGTCTTCATCACCATCATACTTCAGTCGCAGTCTGAAGCGACGAAGTTCAAACAGTGCACATCAAAACCATAAATAGGAGTCCTTACGTAGGAAACCACGCGCTAGAGAACGGGTTTAATTAAGGCATTCTTGTTGGTGGTATTGTCACTAATTTATAGAATCATGAACAAATCTGGATGACTCTATCTAGGACAAAGTAATAATTGCCTAAAAATAAAAAAAAATTACTCTTCAGAATAATACAAGAAAAATTAATGAAAAGAACAAAGGCAAAATAATTTTTAATTAAAAATGGAATCTAAACAACAAATACAGCTTCAAGCAAATGGAAATGAAAATAGAATATACACACCCTTGACTTACGAGTTAAGCTACAATTAATTTTTAAATAATATCGGTACCTTGTCAATGTATGGCAGGACTGTGTGAAAACGACATACACTCTCCCCTACACATACACTAAACACACACACATGCGCGCGCGCGCGCACACACACACACACACACGCACAGGCTTATCGTCGAAGAGGGGGAGAATCAAATTCAATCATCGAAGTTGTACATCGGTTCACTATTTGTCCTAAGTAAATCATTATAAAATAAACGAATCAGAACAAAATTACAATAAAGCGCGGAATGTGCAGACCAGCATAATCAAAAACTGTGGGCCTGGATACAAAACTGCTCTTCCCCGTTGCCAACGCTCTCAATTCAGGTCTATCTTTTAAAATTAAATGTTTTATTGAATATTTAAAAAAAAACATGTATAAAACAACAGACTTCGGTCTAGCTGTGTGTAATACTGTTCATTAACCAAAATATGTTATACATGTAGCATTATCAAAATAGAACCACCATATCTTCTTGAACATGAGAAGTCACATTAGAATTCTCCCCCCCCCCCCCCCGTCCCACCAATACGCCCCTTTTCTACATGATACCATACAAACTCAGCGTGTGTAGGAGTGTGAAAACTAAAGTAGATCAAAAGTTCACGGATAGGATATGCCATGTAAGGATTCATAGGGGAGATAGGTAATCTCCTTTTGCTCTTTTTTATTAACCTGTCAATTTTGAGAAGAAATACAGTGAATCGGCGTCTCTCATTGCACTTAGTCAAAATAAATTCAAATATGTAAAAAAACATCTTTCCTTTATCACGTAATTCGTCAGATGTAATAAAATACAGCATTTCCCTAGAAAACCTTTACCCCCTCTTGTGAATGCAATGTGCCGTCTGCAGAGCTCAGCGTCTGCCGCTGGATGCTTCGCGGTTCCCGGGAGCTGAACAGTTAACGCGGTCCAAAAAATTTTAGGGAGAGTCAGATGAAATAGAGAGGGACCGTGGCATCTATAAAGTTCTACATGGTGAAGCTGGAGATGTGGGCTAGTTTTACTCTTTTCTTTCAAAGTTTGCAAAATACTCTGGCTTTCAGTACCGGCATGCAACCAAAATATTTTCCTGGTATCTTGATACATCTCCCACTTGTGTCTCCCCGCTAAAACGGTCCACACTAAAAAATCAATAATCGTATGGCAATTTTATACAGGCAATTGACCTACTTTTATACCCATGCAGCTATTGTCGAGTTTTATGGCTGTGGAGTGAAAACGTGATACACGTCTGTGACACATAAGTTATTTCTAATTACATAATTTACAAACAGTGCATTTGGAATAAAGGTATCCAGATTTGTGAGCAAAAGATGACA